GTCCTAAGTGACTCTAGTTTTGACCTCTCAGTATATTTGTCTTTTTAAATTCATAAAAACAACATCCGATCTGTCATGAAACTAAGCCCTGGCCCACTGCATGCCTAGAGCCCAAAAGAAACCAAGGCAGATCAATGACAATGAGGCCCATAGGCCTAATGTACATTCCATGGACACTAATATTCCTCTTTTCTGTGTCCTCTTTATTTCTTCTTTATTGAAATCCATTCACCTAGGGGAAATTTTGATTTTAACAGACACAATTTTGTAGATGTAGGCAAAACAAATCCTAATGCTGTAAATTGAATATACTTGCTGTGGCTTAATAATGTTCAAAAAACAAAACATCTATTTTCTGACTTGATTTTGCTTTCAACAGCCCTCTGTCCCCCCTGCATACTGCTGGCACTGGCCCCACGCCTTTCTCTCCCTCCAAAAACCCTCACACAGAAGTGGGAGAAAGTTGACAGTCCAAAGATTCAGAATCAGAACGGAACGAAATTATGAAGTTAAGTCATTAATGGGACCTCACGGTAAAATCCTGGAGATGAACGGCTTTTCCAGAGAATTTTAACACAGAAATATCATCTGAAAATTGAAACGCATGGTTGAAATTTAACAAACGGCAATGAATGATCCCAGAGAGCAGAAACTGGGGCCAGCTTACACAGGGCAGCGGCAGTCCACCCACATTTATTCTCAATGATTCAGGAATTTAGGGAGCAGAGCCAAGAACAAAGCAGGGCATTCAAAGGAGCATGTAGTCAGGACCCCCAAGACTGGGTCCTTTCTTCCCCAGAACTCAATGTTCAGCCACCCTGTAGTCAAAGAGACACGGGTAAAATGAAATCAGAAAAGGAAAAACTGCGACAGAGTAGCAGTAGAGGGGATGGAAAGAGAGCTGAATCATGCCACACTGGAAGCGACTGCAGAGGGGAAAACCGTGGGCCAAATGCCGGGGAGGCCAAATTTCCTCTATCAACATCCATTGAGAAGGGGGAAGGGAGGGAAACTTAGATTTCCCAGCAGTGTGGCCGGTCTTGGCACCCGCCTCAGTTCCCCTGCCGAACTTCCACAAATAAACATCAGAGCATTAGGGACAGATTTGCTTCTCAGCAAGATTTCAAAGCTGTGCACCAGAATCAGAGAGAAAACAGGAAGGATCCTAGAGGGAGGAGAAGGAGGAGGAGGGGCATGCCTGCCTTGGGCCAAATCAGATGGGAAACGTCCCAACCCCTCACCCGAAACTGACGCACCATTATTTATGAGATGTGAAACGTTTCGTGTTGGCAGTCCTGATACCTTGGGCCCGGGTCTGAGCTGCTGGGTTTCAAGCTGGGGGCGTGAAGCCCAAAACAACCACAGGTGAAGACAAATTCTATGAAGCTGTCTCAACCGAGGTGAAACAAAGAGGGGCTAAATCTTCTTGGAGAAAATCCAGCCACCTGGCTGCCTGTTTCTTTCCCAGCCCACTAGGTCACTGGGCATCCAATGTGTGTGTGCGTGTGTGCCTGCGTGTGCATGAGTGTATGTATGGGGGTGGGTGGGCTGGAGTAAGGCCTGCATTTGGATTATTTGAGGATGACAACACTCACTCTGATCTTCAAAGGGCCAAGGAAAAACAGAGCTGGCCCCAGTTGGTGCTGACCCCCAAACTCCCCTCTCCAACTCTCTCAGCTCCCCGGGTTCCCGGGTCTGGAGGTTCTACTCGCACCCCACCCACACTCCCAGCACCTTACACAACAGGGCAGGTGCCGTCACAGTGGTTTACTGAGACTGCCCCTCTTTCTTTGTTAATGAGCACTGACTTGGTGTTTAATAAAACCTTATTTATACACCGGCGTACGTGCTTATGAGAAACAGCCCAGGAGAACAGAAGGCGCATCGTTCCCCTCGCTGGAGCTGAGTGTGGCCGCTTGCCAACCAGCTGCAATAACAGCCTCCTCTCAGACAGGCCCCCGCCCTGGCCTCAGAGCAGCCCCTACCTCTCAGAGAGTCGGAGGGTCTGTCCTGAGCCTTCTGTGATGATTCAGGGTGGTTTTTCTAAAAACACTGATAGGATGGGTACAGGAGCAATAAAAGCAAAAATCCCATCTTAATGCTTGCAATTTCTTTTCAGTTCCCATGTTAGTAATTTTTAAAAAAAATATTTAGCTGCTCTGTCCATTTGTCAAATGGAAAAGCACATTTGAAGGACAAAAGCACCAGCCGGGGTGTTTGTCCTCTTCGCTTGGGACCCATATGTCCTGTCTTGGTCCGGTCTTTCGCCACAGAGAGGAGAAGGAGCAAGACGGTGGGAGGGGTAGACCTTGAGGCTGGTCTCCGTCTCCCGCTGGGTTTCCTCCTCCAGGCAGGCTCTGGGGCCACGCACCAGCTTTGCTAAGAGAACAGCAGGGATGATGTGTCTTCACAGCCCCTTGAGCTTATGGGTGATCAAATGAAAGTGCTGCGAAGCTTTAGAGATATTTGCGGCACTATTATCATCACGCTTGGTCTACAGAAGTTGAGACTGTAAATCAAACTCCTATGTTCGAGGTCAGTGATTCTCAACCCTGGTTGGACATTGGAATGATCTGGGAAGCTTCTAAAAACACTAAAGGCTGGGGCCGGCTCTGTGGCCAAGTGGTTAAGTTCGGCACGCTCTGCTTCAGTGGCCCGGGTTTGGATCCTGGGCGTGGACCTATGCCACTTGTCGGTGGCCATGCTGTGGCGGCAACTCACATACAAAATAGAGGAAGATGGGCACAGGTGTTAGCTCAGGGACAATCTTCCTCAAGCAAAAAGAGGAAGATTGGCAATAGATGTTAGCTCAGGGCGAATCTTCCTCAGAAAAACAAAACAAAACAATAAAAGCCAACTGAATCAGAATCTCTGGGGGTGGGGGCTGGGCATTTGTAGTTTTTAAAAGCTCCCCAGGTGATTCAATGTGCACCAAGGCTGGGAACCACTGCTCCAGGGGCCAAACGCTGTTGGTGTTGGTATTTCTCAGCCACGACGCTGTGACATAGGCTTGTTTCCTCGTCTCGGCACTGAGACCTCAGTGATGGCAAGTGGGCCATGGTTCGAGCCTTGGCCTCAGCCCAGTGCCTGGCTCCTCACAGCCCAGTGCACGGACACACGTCCAGGGGAGGTGAGCGAGCAGGCAGGTCAGTGAGGGCAACCGGCCAAAGTTCTCCTCTGGTTTCTGAACTCTAGAACTTGCCAGAGCAGCGTGTAAGTGCAGTGTTTCTGGTCTTTCCTGTCTGATAAATAAACATTCTGAAGCCAGTGGCCTGAGTTTGGGTCCAGTCCCTAACGAAGAGTTTTGCCTGGGTCCCCCTTTATCCTGCTCCATCCAGAACTGTTCTCCCAGAATTTCTGGTCATGCCCTGAGGGTACATTTACCTATCCCAGCAGCCAAGGGGCTTCAGACAGAGATGCGTGACCCTGCTGCCTTTCTAGTGACCAGAGGATTGCACCATCCTGGGCACCCAGGGAGCCTCCAACAGCTCTGCAAACACAGGCACTGGTCCCCCGCGGGGCTGGTGTTCAGATCCCCAGCATACGGGGTCTTTATCGCCTGACTCACTCTTCTGTCTGATTCTGAAAACAAACCAAGGAGTGAGTCTAAAATCAGGTTCCCCTTGGAACTTTGGACAGAGAAGTTTGAACCACATGGCTTTTTATTCTCCCTGCAGCGTGGGGAGCCGAGAGACCTTTTCTGGGGTCCTGGGCTCTCGCAGTGGTGGCATCCATAGGTCCTGACCCCTCTTGCCACCCTGGAGGCCTACCCTGATGAGCTGGGAACACTGTTGAGTAACATTCTGAGGGAAAGTCACACTTTGAAAGGATGAAGTGTGAACTCTGCCAGAAATAGTGGGGTCTTGTTGTCATTTTGTTTCATTTCTAAAGGCTTTCAGCTTGCTTTTTAAGACAAGTTGAGTGAGAGTGGGTTTTCTGGGACTTGAGAGAGTAGCCATAGAAAAGCAAAACACAAATTCCTCAACCAAATTCTCAGTGACTGGCACCCCCCACAACGCAGTTCCAGAAGTTAAAATGAAGGCACAAGAGAAAACACAATTCAACGCTAGACACAGGATATGTGTCACCTCTGAAGGATTCTAATTTTGAGTGTTTCTTAAAGTGTGGCTTCCAGTGACCTCCATCGGAATCACCTAAGGTACAGGGCGATTCTGGGCCCGGCCCAGATCTCTTGAATCAGTCTCTGGGGGTGGGTATTTAGACCTTGCATCTTTTCCCAGCTTCCCAGATGATTTTCATACACTCTGAAGTGTAAGAGCCACTGCTCTGCACCTCCTTTATATAATTCCCTCTCATCTTATCCTTCTAGCAAAAGAGGAGATATCAGGTCCCAAGAAGTGTGTCTGGGATGCAGTTCTGGAACACAGAGTTGAGCTAGATCAGGGCTTTCCAAATTTTTGAGATTATGAAATTTTCTCTGTTATTTTTTTTTCTTCCCAGAAACAGCAACCTTTGGGGCCAAGAGCAGACCCAGAGGAAGGAGTGTGAAGTTCTCATTTATTAACATTTATTAAATGCACATATTTTTTCATGTATTTTTTCCTACCACTCTCTAACGTATTATATTTGTTTTATAGATGAGTGATGGGGTCAGGAAAGGCCAGCTCTCTTGCCCACAAACACCTACCTAGGAAATGGTAGGGCAGAGAGTCAAATCAGGCCTCCTTCTCCTTTCCACGCTGCTAGAGGTGGTGGGAAGGATTCATCCCACATTTTGAGTGGATTCAGACCTGCCACAACCACATACCTAATAGTGAACCTAATAGTGACTTCCGGGTGTCTGGGCCACTACTTTAGAAATACCATCAGTCAAGATTCCTTGGGTCTTCAGAGCCTTGAGCTTCCTCAAGGATTGTCTTGAACACCAGGCTCATGCTTTCCCCCACTGTCAATTCATGAGTCCCTGACGGCCTACCACCAGGCCCTGCTGCCCCCAGGAATTATCTTCCAAGGGGCGAGCAGCTGAATACCTCCCTTACCACACGGAAGAGCTTGAAGAAGTCCACGTTGGCATACAGACTGTCTTCCATCCACTGTAGGGTGCCCTGGGAGAGGGAGCACAGGGCGTCACGCACTGTCTGTGCGCCACGGCGCTGGCTGAAGATTATGAAGCGCTCCAGGAGGGCATCGCTGCAGGCAATGTCCTTCAGCACCAGGTCTGGGACTCCGTGAGCAAACTGCAGGGAAGAGAAGCAACATTGCAAACCTCCCTGTGGTAGGAGAACACCGGAACCCAAAGATATCCATGTCCTAACCCACAGAACTTTTATCCGGCCCACCAACCCCATAAGACATTCCCACAACCCTGCTCAGAACAAGCCTAACATGTTCTCTTCAGCTTACAGGAAACCACAAAGAGAGGAAGGAGAAGATGACTGAGATATGGGTCAGATCCAGTTAAAACCAGTTGAAGGCAACATGGCAGTCCCACTTGATCTGACATAGACCGCACAGCTCATTACACGCTCATTGTAATACATTACCATATTATAGGACACACCCATCAACACCATGACAGTTTACAACTGTCCTGGCAATGGCAGGATATAACCAAATAAGGAAAGAAAAGAGGTGGCACCCTTGCTCCCCAGAAAAGCTTGCCCATTTCCCTGGATAACTATGAATAGTCCTCCCCTTCATTACCTGGACCCAGCTGCTTAATCACCCCAGGAGCTGAGAAGTTGATTTGTGAACTTAGTTCCCTCTTCTCCATTCTTTGGCCATTTTAAAAATCTTGTGCTGTTGAACACACAGCTTCGGTTTTGTTTCAAATCCATGACATCAAACAGGAGAGAACCCTCCAAGGAAGGGATGGATTGTGGGTATGAAGCCCACCCATGGGACCCTCCTCAGAGCTCCTCCTAGTATGGATTAGAGTCCCACTGGAGTGAGGTGAAATTGGTAACAGAACCTGTGAATACATTATGTTGCATGGCAAGGGGAATTAAGATTGCAGATGAAATTAAAGTTGCTAATCAGTGAACTTTAAAATAAGGAGACTATTTTGGGTGGGCCCAAGGTAATCACCAGGGTCCTTTAAATGTGGAAGAGCGGGGCAGAAGAAACAATGCCAGAGTAATGCGATGTGAGAAAGACTTGACTGGCCACTGCTGGCCTTGAAGATGAAAGCAGGCCACCAGCCAAGGAGCGTAGACAGTCTTTGGAAACTGGATTTCCCTCTAGAGCTCTCCTAATAAGGAACGCAGCCTGCCAACACATTGACTTTCACACGTCTGACCTCTAGAACCATAAGATAATAAATTGTGTTGTTTTAAGCCACTAAGCTTGTGGTAATTTGTTACAGCATAAATAGGGAACTAATACGCTCCCAAGCCTCATTTTATCAGAGAGCCATTTAAAATTTGAGAGATTCCTTCTTAGCACGTGATGCTAAGATACCATCAGGACCTACTCCCTGAAGCTAAGATGGGAGAGTGGCTAGAATGCATTTGCAGTGATGGCGAGTGAACAACTCCCTCTCTCCTTTCTCACCAGATTTAGCAAATAAAAATACTGGATGTCCAATTAAATTTGAATTTCAGATAAACAATGAATAATTTTTAGTACACGTATGCCCCAATAGAGTCATTAGGACATACGTATGCTAAAAAATTTTTTGTTGTTTATCTGGAATCCAAATTAAACTAGGCATCCTGTATTTTATCTGCCGACCCTGACCCCTGGAGAGCCCACATCCTAAAGCCCCTGTGGAGTTCACGGACAGTGACTCTTAAAGCACAAGGCCCATGATGGCCTCTGGGGACCCTCGGCTACCCAGCACAGTAACTGGACTCCTGGCAGTGGACACGACCCTGAGCACCGTGAAGACGTTCAGGAGCTTCCGTGGCCTCTGTAGTCTCCCCATGGCTTCCAATTATACAGTCCTTTGGGCTGGAGAGCAGAGCAGGCCCAGGCTCTGCTACCCCCTGTCCAGATCACGTATGGAAGCCCGGTTCCTAAATGAAGCACAGGTCACGGCTGACGCTGGGTTGGTGTGGACTCTGTCAACCTCAGGGGACTGTAACTGGGTGCATGTTCCAACAGGGCCTTCCTGTTCTGCCCTATACTTTTGTCCTCAGTCAGAATCCCACCCCCAACCCTAGGCCCAGAGTCTAAAACATTTTGAGGTAGGGGGAATCAATGAGCTCACTGTCCAAACCTCTAATATTCTGGAGGAGAAAAGTGATGTAGGAGGGATTCGGTGACTTGAGAAGGCTACACAGCAGGCTAGTGGGAAAGCGGGGACACCACGAATGTCCCTGGCTCCTTCTTTCACTCAGTCACTCATTCATTCAATGCTCATGCATTGAGTCCCATTCTGCAAGGACTGGGATAGATACTGGGGATACAGAGAGAAGAGGGTGAGTTTTCTGCTCTCCAAGGAGCTCACTGGCTAGCTGGAAATGCAGGCATTTAAGTAGTGGTAAGTGCCAGGTTGATCTAGTGAAACCAGGGTGCAGAAGAGGGAATGTTAAGAATAGCTAGTAAAAATAGCTAGTATTTATTGAGTGTTTACTTCTCTAAGTGCTTTCCATATATTAGTTCTTTGAACTCTCACAACAACCATATATGGTAGGCATTTTTATTATCTCCATTTTACAAATGAGGAAATAGAGGCACAGAGTGGTTAATTAACTTCCTGAAGTCACACAGTTAACTGTGTGGCCTTGCTGAGATTTGAACCCAGAGCTTGTGCTTAACCATTACCTGTTAGCTCTTTGTCCAGTAGGGGAAAGGGAGGAGGCAGGACCGAGAAAGGAGGGTTTATGTACGATTTCACTGAGGAGGCAACATTTGAGCTGGACCTTGAAGCAAGTCCAGGAGTTTACAGGGCTGGGGATAGGGGGTGGGATGACGGACAGGCCAGAGAACTGTACCACTCTCCTCGTCTAATAATTCCCTAGATGGAGAGAGAGGGGGTGATGCGATTCCCTTCTGAGCTGTGCTCAGACACCAGGCAGAAAGGACCGGGAGGGGTGTCCATCTTGATGGTAAAGAACAAAATTCCATATTTGATGAGGATGATCAATGAGAGAGTGGTAAGCCGCATACGCCTATTTAAATTTAAAGTAATTAAAATTAAGTAACAGTTAACATTCATTTCCTCAACTGTACAAGCCTCATGCCAAGTGCCCACCAGCCACACGCGGCTAGTGGCTACCATATTGGACAGCACAGACAACACTGCCATCATGGAGGAGAGTTCTAGGGACAATGCTGTTAAGGAGTCACAGAGCTGGATGGAGACGGAGATGGAGGTAACCAGGCTGAGAAGCAGGGAGCTGGGTCAACACGAATGGCCTCTGCCAGTGCAGGAGCTCTGGGCTCCCTCTTGAGCTCTGGGGTTTGCTGATCAGGGAAGCATCAGCTCATCAGAGCCAGCAACACAAAACAAAGGCACAACCCGATGACCCTGGCCCCTTCTGCTGCCCACATGAACGACCTCCGCCCTGTGCCAGTGGCTCAGCAACTAGAGATCCAAATGTCGTGTCAGGAGGAACTGGAAAGAAATTTCCCCTAAATTCCTGCCGTTATCTCCATCTCCCTTTTATAACCAACTGGAAGTCATCACAGGCATTTCCAGGACTTGAGTTTTACAAGCTGAAGAGAAAGCAAAGGGGAAAATGAGCAATCGATGCTGCTGCCACCACCCTTCTCGGGTGCGGGTGGGAGGGGAAGCAGAGCAGGGCAGCCAGGCCTGACTCCAAGAGCCCTGACATGTCGCCTCAGGGCTGACTCTTAGTTCCCCTCATCTAGTTTGAGTGAAAACCTCAGGATCTAAGAAGCCAGAAAAGCAGGTGTGGGCTTCTTCACTCTTGTGCAGGGAACGAGCTTGAAAACCCCCTTCAATGGAGCCAGCCCTGGCCAGGCAAGTGGGGTCTCCTCCCTCCCCTGGGCTCAGCCTTTATCTCAGGACTGACACAGGCCTTGAAATTCTCTGTTTATGTCTTGGTCTCCCCTGGAGTCTGGGGGAGGTGCAGACCTGGCCGGGAGAGGCGGGAGGGGTGTCTGCGCTGTAAGCCACTGCTTATCTTGCGTTCTCACTGTGTTCATCACACTAGGAACCCACACAGCCAGGATGCCGGGCCAGGAGCCCGTGAGGCCCCAAACCAGAGCAGCGGTGCTCAGCCCTGAGCCGTCAGAATCACCTGGAGGGCTTGTGAAAACACAGGTCGCTCGTCGGTCTGGGGCAGGGCCTGAGAATTTGCATTCCTAACAATCTCTCAGTCCTTGCTGAAGCTACTGGTCTTGGACTCTGAGAACCACTGAACTGGAGTAAGGAACACTGGGTTAGGAAGGAGAAGACCTGGATTCCGCTCCGGCTCTGACAATTTCTAGCTCTACCGCCGTGAGCAAATCACTCAATCGCCAGACACCTCAGTTTCCCCATCTTTTTGACCCATCTCAGATTAATGTGAGGAAGACAGGAGCTAACAGATGTGAAAGTCATGTGTTAGTGGTAAAAACTCTACATAAATACAGGAAATGATGAAAAGCGACGAAATAGATTTTGGGGGAGATGGGTCAGAATGTGCAAGGGGGATAGAGGAAGGAGTTGGCCAGCACCGAGAAGGAAAAGTGCAGGAAATCAGAGGGCTGCTCTGCGAGCTGCATTATTGGGTTCTGTAACTTGTGGAGTTACCTCCCCACTCAGACCTTTGCCCTGCTGGTTTCTCAGCCCAAAACTCTCCTCTCACAGGAATTTCCATGGCTGCCTTCTCTTCAGTCAGGTCTGCTCAAACGCCACCTCCTCAGGAAGCCCTTTCTTGACCATCTCATTTAAAATTGCCCCCTCCCCAAGCCTCCCTAGGCCCTCTCCAAATCCTGACCTGCTAGATTTTCCTCACAGCACCTTTCTCAACATGGAAATGCATGGAATCCTTTGCTTTCTTGATTGCCCGTATTGTCCACACTGTATTTTAGTACGACAATGTCCCTAACTATTTGATGAATACATGCAGAAACCTTGGTTTCCTCAACTATAAGAGGAATTTGAGCCACATGATCCCTAAAGTTCCTTCCAGTTATAAAGGTCCGAGATGTCTGAAGTGTCGCCAGGATTTGGGCCACTTCAGAATCCACTGATGGGAATGCTCATCCTCTCAAGTGACCCCCAGGTATTTTTCTGAATATGGGACATGAATCATGGATTCTGAATGTGAAAACAAGAAGGAAAAAAAAAATGCAAGGTGTCCCTTGCCTTTCTCAGGCCAGTGCTCACCCTTCCCCTCCAGGGACCACTGACAAATGACGCTCACCTACCTGCTCTGGACGGACTTGGGAGTTGACCAGAAGGTGGACAACTGAGTCAGACAGGCCAATGTTTTTTATGAGAAATAGTGTCAGTGTTTCTTCATCTTTTAGGACATCTCGAATTCGTATTCCTCTTCCTGTATGTGAATGAGAGAAAGCACAGGAAGGGGATATGGGTCAAAAAAAGGAAAACAGAGTTGATTGGACACATTTCCAACTTGACTCTCAGAACAAGGCTCTGTTCTCGGGTTCCCTGGGAGTGCCTGGGGACCAGGGATCCCGCCAGTAGGCTGTCACCAACACAGTCACAGCATTTACTGCAAAGCAGCTGGGAAAATTAAGTGAGAAGGCACAGAAGGTGGAAAAAGGTACCTCAGGGCAGGGCAGGGGGTGGTTGTCAGATGCTGCGTGGGGTGGGTCCAGGACAGTGGCACTCTATAGAGTGGGGTTGAAGAGTCAGAACAGGGCAATTTTGTCCCCCCGGGAATATTTGGCAGTGTCTGGAAATATTTTTGGTTGTAACAACTGGGGAGGTGCTACTGGGTGGAGGCAGGGGATGCTGCTGACCATCCCATAATGCACGGGACAACCTCCCTCCCCACTGAAAAACAGAGAACTATCTGGTCCAAAGTGTCAATAGTGCTTAGGTTGAGAAACCCTAATCCAGGACTGGAGGAGATATGTGCTATGTCCACACTGCAGTTGTCATGGGGTAGAGGACCCTTCCTGGCATTTCTGTCATCTCAGCTAAGGCTGTAAGCTCGGGGTATTGACATGCACTAACAGAGATGGGGCTGTTTCGGGCAAGAAAAGCTTCAAGTGGGAAAGAGGGGATGGCCTATTGCCTGGGCTTACAATTTCCTGTCCTGATCAGCCCCAGTCACATTCTCTCTAGCTTCACTCAAACCCTGCTGGAAGCGAAATTTCTTTATAAGGAGGCATAAGGGGCTCCTAACAGCTAAGATGACCTTGGGGCAAGTGGCCGAACCTCTCTGTGTCTGCAGTTTCCACATCTACCTCTCACAGTTGTTGTAGGAGTGACTCAGGATAAGGAACGCAAATCGCTTAGCTGCCAGGCCTGAAAACACTGAGTGCTAAATAAATGCTTGTTCTGATTGCATTAATGTAATTCTTACCCCACCCAGGGGATTCACACCCCCTCCTCTGCCTGCTTGCAGGGCCAATACTCAGCCTCAGGCCGGCCACTGCTATAGTTCATGTGAAGCTGGCCAGAGAAGAGGCTACAGGCCCAGATATTTATGAAATCACTTCAACATTAAGGGAAAGCGCTTGGGTTGCCTGAAAATGCCTGTCTCTACATCCCACCTTCTCCAGGAGACTGGCTGACTGCTTATCTCTTAGTTCTTCTTTAACTAACTTTAATCATCAAAAGCCCCTGCCCCTTCCAGGTCCTAACACCACATTGCCTATCCTCTCCCTCCCCAAATTCTCCCCTCACCAGGCAGCCACGAGGCCTTCCCCCTGAGTACTTGACAGCCATCCCTTCCGTTTTCAGCTGGTGACTTTCCCTGTACAGGGCCTTGCCCAGATTGATGTTGCTGCTAATTTCCTCTTGAGAGAGATAGGTCAACCTCACAGGCTGCCCGTGCAGCCAGGGCAGGGGCAACCTGTCCTGCAGGTCCACTCCACAGCCTCTCTCGCCACAGTGGCGGCTCTGCAGAGTTGGGCCACCAGGTAGCCCAGGATCACTGCCTTTTGCATAGGAAAAGCCCAAGGCTTTAGGGGAACTTGAATATAGGAGGGAGCCCCAGGGAGGAGGAGGGTTCTGAGAGGGGCTGCTCTATATTGTTCTTGCCTTCCCTCCTTTTCCATAGCCTAAGTCCTGTCATCTTCCAAACCCAGCTTCCTTTCTGCCTTCCCCTGGGGCTCCAGCTCAAAAGTTCTTCTCCCAATCACTTCTTTATATATAGCCTTATGCTGTATACTCTGGCCTCCAGCAACACCACCCCCAACACACACGCACACATTCACACACATACACACACACACACACACACACACAGTCTCTCGAGAGTAGGGGGCTATGGATCCTGGTTTTATTCTGCTCCTCCTCACACCTAGCAATGCTGCGCACACAGATGTAAGCCCTTGAAGTTACCTCTCTCTGACACCCAGCATTAGAGCCTGACGTGGAATCAGCTTCGATAAATGTCTGTGGAATGACAGGCGGCGCCCCATAAATACCTGTTGTCTTGACCTGAGGGTCAGGACCCCATTCGACTGTTTATCTCTTCGTTATTCGTTAACTCATTCACCTGACCTTACATACAAATACCTTGCTGGGGAGAAGGGACAAAACAAGGGAGACCGGGAGCGACTTTGCCCAGCGTTGCCCAGCATCTCACCTAGGTGACCTGGCGGGCATGGCCTTAGGGAGAAGGGGCAGGAGCGTGCTGGTTCCACACACCGGAGGAGGGGTGGGGGCCACCCTGTAAGGAGGGTGTGGGGCCCAAAATGTAAGGGGTGGCCGATACCAGACAGAAGCTCCACTAGACTCCCGAGAGAGAAATGTGAACTGGGGGCCTGAGGAAAGAAAAATAAATTTAGTTTAAAATGTGGTTCTTCTTGTTCTCTTCCCCGGGAAGATTAGAGGCTGGGGGAGTGGGCTGCTGAGGCCCTCAGGGCTGAGGGGAGCTGAGGGTTGGGGCTGGGGAGAAGCCAGGAGAACGCTCCAGGCTCATGGGAAGAAGGTGTTTAGAGATGATTGAGAGACCACAGAGCGTGCTTGGGGGTGAGAGGGGAGGGGGCTTCACGTCTGGTCTTTTACCGTTAATCCTCCGCTGCTGAGAATGCAGTACTACAGGTTTACTACCAAAGGAAAATGCCACCTGGGTCAACCATCAGCATACTTTCCCAGGTGACGGGGAACTGACAGGCAAAATCACACTCCAGCGACAGCCGCCCCCCTCGCTTTCAAAGGCTTAACCTCCACTGCGGCTTTGGGCTGAGGATCCAGTGTTCACAGAGCGATGTCCCCAGATGACCCTGGGACAGGCTCTGGAACAGTCTGCAGTGCTGACGGTGGACTTCAGTCCCCAGCCTGGAACTCCTTCAGAGACTGCGTCCCTTTCTTGGGGATGTCCCCTGTCCCCTCTCATGGCCACCAAGGTCAAGGGTTCTGTAGAGTCTCTGTTCCCAGCCCCAAAATTCCTTTGGGCAGCCTTGGCTGGCCTTCCCTGATCCCATCTGCCCAAACATTCAGGAATGTGCCCCCACAGCCTGAAGGCCTGCAGAAGGAACCACCTGTAGGCCAATTCAGAACTAGTCCTGCTTTGGGGTTAGGAAGTGGTGATTTTGGTTCTCACATACACGCTGCAAAGACCACAGAGACAGTGTGGTTTGAAATGACTTCCTTTATACTTCCTCCCAGTCAGACTCAATCTGATGATCAGATACCGAAATGAAGTGTCTGCTGGACGAACGGGGTAGACAGGCACCCCAGGGGCTGGACAGCCCACGTTCTCATCTGCGTGTTTAACCTTGGAACAAAATGCTTTCTGACTGGTGCCTCCCTCTTTTTTTTCCTACTATTAAAACGCTAATTGTGCTCATATCTTGTAAGGTCCCTCAAGCTTGAGCTAAGAAAACTCTTCTATCCAGAGCAGCAAAGAATGTAGTGGTTGTAATCTGATTTTACTACACAAAGTATATGTGTTACTATTTTTGAAAGAATTAGAATGTAATGAAGTAATCTTAACGATCTTAACGTACCCTCTGAACATACCCCTGTCCTTTATTGCTCCAATGGGGAAAGAAGGGAGAAGGGGGCCAGATGGGAGGAGGATCAGATTCTCCTTGGAGAACTTTCCCCTCCTGACTCCCTTGAGCTCTTGAAGCTCCACTGGCCACCCACACTGCGTGGTCATTGTTCACTCAGTCCATCTGCTTCTGTCCTGGGAGCCTGTGGGGGGTGGGCAAGTGATCTGACCCATCTCTGTCCCATGGAACTAGCCCACTGCCTGGCACCAAAAGTCTGCTGACTCTTGATTGAGCCGCAGGGGTGAGGAGCTCTGGGGCTGATGTGTACCATTCTCCCAACTTGCTTGTTTGGAACCCTGTTCAGGAGCTGTTCTATCCAGCCCCTCCTGTTCCCTTGGTAGACTCCTTCCTCATCCTTGTCATCCTCTAAGGTCATCCAGAGAGTCACATCCGCCATCCCCATCCTAGGAGCAGACATCTCCCAGCTCCAAACCGCTTCCTTCGCAGACCCTGAGCCACACCTTCTGGAACAATCTTCCTCACACCAGCAACCTTTTCTCCACCCCCAGGACTGCAGTGACCCCTGGGTTCCTGGTAAGCCTTGCCCCCTCCCAGCCGCTCATTTGCCCCTCCCAGGGGATGGATTCCAGCCAGTACCCAGGCCGCTACCCAGGCCGCTACCAAGTCCAGTCCCTCCGGCCATCTGCAGAGGAGCCTACTGCAGACACGACAACCACACAACATCCACTTGTACTTTAATAGGAGATGTCAGAGTGGTTACTGGGGTTGGGTTTTGTTTGTTTCTTGTTTTTCCTCTGAGGGAGAAGAGACAGGGGAGAGGGAGCTTGTCTACACTTCTTCCTCACCTTTCTTGAGTCCAAGTGGCTCTCCTACCCGCACAACCCCGGTGTCCATGTGACCCGTTCAGCCTGGTCTCTCATTTCCTTCTCCTCCCCATCAACTAAACCCTCACCTTTGCTCCACTTTAATCACCCTGGCCACACTGGGGGCTTGTTCTCACTCATCCTGCCTGCCTTTGAAATCCTGTGTTCACATATTTCACTTTCTGACCACAGCCGTCAGTCCTTCCCTCCTGCTCATTTTCTCAGTCCTCAAACAAAGACATAGAACCCTCTGAGACCCTTATTCCCTTGTCCCTCCACTTCCCCTGGCCCATTTCAGTAACTCTGGCTTCTCACCCACCCTTATGCAGCCTGGACCTGATGCCTGTAGTCCAACCACTGCCCTCAATCCCCTTGCCTCTCGGACACACTGTGGCACCGCCCTCAAGCTCCCTCCAAGCTCCCAGCCCTGCATGTGCCGCCCCCCACCCCAACCCGCACCTGCTCTGCTTCAGGGCCTGGGATGCTGAATATTACTGGAAGAAGTCAAATGACTGTGCATGTTTATGTCATGATAAATATATGCTCTCTGACCTCCCTGGCTCCTTACTGCTATTTGGCGTTGCTTCCACACGTTCCTGGTTAGCTCGCTCTCAGGGACTCCATGGAAGTTGTTTCACACCTTTACCTTACTCCACAAACTCCTCTCCCCCTGCTTCCAGCATGTAACCTCGCCTCATACTTCCCAGAGCTCGATCTCTCTTGGTATTCTCCTTTCTGTCTCTGGACTTAACTGGGGTGAGAACTTTCCTGCCCTCCCTTCCCAACTTCCTACCTTCAAGGCTGGAGGGAAGAGGGGTCCTCACCAAGGTGAGCCTCACACCACCTCTAGATCCCATCCCTTCCTGCATCCTCTAGTATCTTTTCCCACCAAATCTCCCCCCTCTTTCCTGTATCTTCAGTCTCTCTGATGGATGAGGCAAGTGATGGTTGAGAACACTGAGGCCCACCTTACCTGCAGTTCTCTCGGGGTGGGTCTGGAGGGTGTCCATGAGTTGGAACACAGTGCGGAGTTCTGTCCAAACATGGCCAAGGTGCTGGCTCTCTGGTGCATCCACAAGGAGTTCTTGAAAATCTCGATACACCCTTGCCAAGCTGTAAGAAAGAAAAAGCCTCATCAATAAAGACATAGCTATCATTTTCATAATAATAATACACCTGTGCAACTTTTTAAGATACCACTGGGTTGACCCAGCTATTACATTATGTATCCTTACAATACTGTCAAGGCAAAAGAAGAAAGATTTTTACTTCCATGTACATGTAAGATAACTGACAGGAGTCATGAGCAATTTGTTCAGTCTTCCAACTTTGGCAGCTCCGGGTCACCTCTCAACCCCATTCTCTATGTATTTCCTGTCCAAAGAAGTCTTAAACGGGATGATATTAGTAGATATTACTGGAGGTTCTTCCCAGCCATGGTCCACTTCTCTGAGACCTGCCCTTCCAGCCATTCATAGGGGTAAGTTCTGTCAGCCATGCTTAAACCGCTAAGTTCTTCCCTCCACGCATGCACTCGTACCCCTCTGCCAAGGTTGATTGGACACGGAGAATGAAGCCGAGCCAACCACATTTGTTCCCAGGAATTTGAATGGTATTCAAGGATGCCCTTCTGCTTGCCCAAGCCAAGGTGCTGTGAATGGGGCAACTAGCACCAGCCTGGGCACTGAGAAGCAGGGGATATTAGTCCATGGAGAGAGGCAAATGGAGGGGATGCCCATAGAGAGAGGCAGAGAGACTGGACCTTGGAGGCCCAGACAGGAGAGAGCAGCTCCTGACAGCTCTCCCATTCTTGTCCCTCCCCTCCTGAGACCTGCCTTGTTGTCCTTGGCTTTGTGAGAAGGTCTAGTGCCCAAATCATATATTTCCCTCTGAGGCTTAAGGTTGTTTAAACGTGTTTCTCTGCCTTGAAAGCAAAAAAGAACCTTGAATAAGCCAATATTTCACCCATAATGTGTGTGTGAAACATGAAACCCAGATTTCCTGGTTCAAATGCCAACCTGGAGTCTGAAGCCCCCTTCCCTAACTCCCACCCCTCATTCTATAGACCCTGCCAGTGCCAGTCTCACCAAAGCTCCTCTAGCCTCCACTGAGGTATCTCCAAGGCTCCCCGATCCCACCATGGCACCCCAGGGGATCTCTCTGGATGGATAGGCGTTTCTTTTCAGGCACCTCAAGGAGAATCAAGCTGAAAGTATAGATTGTTAATTAAAGCTTCCAGGCAGTGTTTGCAGCCATGTGAGCCCAACGAAAATGTCACTTCCCTGACATTCCTAGGAAGACAATTTTTCCCTCTTCTATCTTCCTATAACCCAGGAGTCAGCAAACAGTTACACATTATAGGCTTGGGGCCAGAGTTTCTGTCACAACTACTCAACTCTGCTATTGTGGGTCACAAGGAGCCACAGTCTGTTCCCAGTGGGGAAGGCTACCTCTGAGCATTAGGCTGACTTATCAAATGTTCCTTTTTTCTTTTTTTTTAGTCAAAATGCAGTTTTGTCCTAGAGGAATTATATCCAGATGTCCTCTAGGGAAAAAACTGGAGTAATCAAATATCTCAGTTTCCATCTGACTTGGTGTTTATTTAAGTAGGGTGAAGCCTACTCGCCAACAAGCCCTTGTTGGTGACCTGTGGCTATAAGTTTCACGAGTTGCAGCTCAAGGTCAGCCCAGTGGGTGAAGGACGATCCTTACATCACGTACTCCCACCTCCTGCTCTGAAGGTGGGATTTGACTTAAAGTTTGACCCCAGGGGCGGGCCCAGTGGCCTAGCAGTTAAGTTCGTGCACTCCACTTCAGCAGCCCGGGGTTCGCGGTTTGGGATCCCGGGCGTGGACTTACGCACTACTTAATAAGCCATGCTGTGGTGGTGTCCCATATATAAAATAGAGGGAGATGGGCACAGCTGTTACCTCAGGGCTAATCTTCCTCACCAAAAAATAAAAAAGTTCGACCCCAGAGTAGAGGTCATTAACCTGGAGTCCACAAGTCCCCTGAAATCATATGCACAATGTAATCTTTTGTGTATGTGTCCATTTTTCTTGGGAGAGAGGCCATCAGTTTTCCTCAGCTTGTCAGAATGGTCTTCAGCTCCACAGGTTAAGAACCATTGCTCTCAAATAATTAAAAAAAAAAACAAAAAAAAAAACCCAAGGAACCGCTGCTCTTGAGCCATATCCTAAGATTTTGCCACCCAAGGGAACTGATGGCATTTACAAGAGGATTTGGAACTTGTCTTTTTCTCCTTTTTCTCCAAAAAGCAAACTTCACTTCATAAACCTGATTTCATTACCCCTCGAAATGTTCCCTGACATTTTTCTTAGCCTTTAGATGTCTGAGAAGGCTTTTAAAGAAACAGGGATGTGTCAGGGTTGACCTGGGTGGAGAGCGATGTAAGAGAACAGAAGGCGAACCGAGTTTTCTCACGCAATGATTCCGCCCAAGCAGATGGATGACCTAGAGGCAGTGGACACATCTCAGCAGCGTGCTGCCATCAGACTCCAGGTCATATCCTGGGGCTATAAGGACCAAGACATCACGTCATGTGGCCTTCCTTTGAAGCTTTCTCCCCAAGTGCCCTGACAGCTAATAGAATGCTCCAGAGAGGAAACATGCCCTGCTCCTATGAGCTTACGGGTCCAGCAAGCCACAAAACATTCATGCAGCATTACAGGCTCTGTGTGTTCGCGCATGTGCTCCAATGTATGACGAGAATAAGGGGGTGTACAACTTCCTCCCCCGTATGGTGGGAATCTCAACACTTACATGGAGTTGTTGTAGTTTGACACAATTCCAGGAGATTCTCCCGGGGTGGGACTTTGAAAACAAGGATTGTTCACATTGCAGAAAATTCCTTGGAGCCATGGCAACATTCCTGCTGAGGGCATCGCCTTGTTGGGAAAATGGCCTTTAAGACAGGAAATGAGGACAAGGAGTTAGATTCATCGAGACCAAGCGGGATGCAGGCCCTAGTTGCTGGGGCCTCTGCAAGAAGGAGCCCGGCCCCTCTGGTGCTTTCCTTCATCATCAACACTTAAGCAGGGGCATCTCATATGCCAGGCCCTGTGCTGGGTGCCAGAGACAAGGTCTCTTCTCTCAAGCTCCCAGCGTAGTGGGGAGATGGACAAATGTTCCAATAGAGGCACAGACAGAAGCGCAGAAGGGGAACAGAGGGAGAGCACATCATTTTGTGGTGGGCGGGGTGGAAGGATGGTAGCTCAAGAAGCCCCACCAATTGCTGATACTTGAGGAGGAGAAGAGGTTCATCTCTTCCTTCAACATCTGTGTACTGAGCACCTCCCACCAGCATGCAAGAGGGTTGCAGGTTATGGGCTCCTGGGGGGGTGTGGTAAAGAAACAAGAGTTTGATGGACAGGAGGCTAATTCAGAATTTGGGGCTTGAAATTCATGATCAAGAGGGTAAGGAGCTAGAATAGGGGACTGAGCAGCTTTGCATAACTCCTGAGGTCTCCATATTAGCTGCCTAAAGGCAGAAGATGTCATCCTGGCCAGAAACCAGATGAAGGCTTTCCCAGAGGGGCACAGTATAAAAGAGCACTCACAGGCTCATCCTAGGTCCCCGGATACCTCTGAGGTCCAAGAAATAATATTTTATTAAGCATGAATGTATAGCATCCCCTCTTCTTTTTCTCTAGCACCATGTATAGCATATCCCTAAATGGGTCCCTAAAATACTTTAGGGAACTCATCTATAACCTGCTCCCTTTAGAACTAGCAAGAGTTTAGTTATAGGAAAAAAAGAACCAACAAAAACAGAAACAAAAAATAATTACACAATTCTTCAGTAACGACACACAAGTATTTGCATAGAATGTATAGGATTAAAAAATTAGTTTGTGTAACACTGATGAATCTCTGTTTTCTCCATTGGAGGCATGAAATGATGATAAGCAGATCTGATCCTGGCATCCCCAACCCCCAAGACCTTTCTAAACGAAAGGATTGGACCTCCAGGCTTGCCAAGGCTCCCCCGTTATGCTTACATTCGTGTTGGCTGTAGAGTGGGTTGACATTCCTTAACCAGATCAAGACCAGAAATAAAGATAAAGGCCATATGAGTTCCACAACAAAGCGAATCTGGAAAAACAAAAAGGGAGAAAGACCAGTGATGCTATGAGATTACAGGAAACATACCGGGAGCAGACACACTCCATCTCAGCACTTGTCTACGCGCTAGGACTTTGGTTGTGGTGTATTTATCTTCCTTCTTTTATCCCCTCTCCCACACCACCTTTACCCTGATATATTAGACTAACTAGACTCTGTGTCCACATGAGTTCTACTCTGCCTCTATTTTAGGAAACTGCGTTAGCACCGGGCTTTCGTCAAGGGTTGTCATATGTGCTTCAGTGCTTTTCGGATGTCACGGTGCACGTGAACGCAAGTTCTGATTCTGTAGGGCCCACTAGACCTCACATGTCTATCAAGCCCCCAGAGGATACTGATGCTGCAGGTAGTAAAGATCTCATTGTAATCTCTCATTCTGCAGATGAGGAAACAGAGGCCAGGGAGGGCAGGGGACCTGTGCAGTGGCACATTGGCAGTGACAGCATAGGAACCAAAATCCAGCCTCCTGTCTCTAAGCCCAGTGGTCTTTCTGCCCCTCCCCATTGCCCTGCCTTCTTCTAGTGCATACTAGACTTTGCATATGTGATCACTGATTGGTTGAATGAATGAATGAGCAAATGACTCTGTGACATATTGTGAGGCATAGCAAAGTCAACGGAAATCTGGGTTTGCCAATGTTTTTCCTTCAATAGTTTCTTGTTGCTTAAAGAAACAAAGTAGGACATACTGCCATGGGTTTTTACAGTACTAGAAGAGGTTGCTGATGCCAATATATGGTTGAAAGTCAATATTTAAATTTAGGTTCAATTTAGAGATTAAGGACCCTTGACTCCAAAGGAAGAAGAGCCAGTTGGTTGTTGCAGCCACACTCTGTGGCATTGCGCATGACGGTGGTGGGTGGAGGTGTGGGCTTAAGGGGAAAAGGAGAAGGAGAGAGGGGGTGTGAACTGGAAAATGCAATAGTTCTACCCAACTCTCATTCCAGAGACCTTAGGAAGGAAACTCATAAGATCTAAAGGAGAACTTAAGCAGATGGCTAAGAATAGAGACTTAACTACATATAGATCAGTCAGGGCTCATTTGCACGGTCTTGAACTCAACCCTTTGTTGTTCCTTCCAAAGAAAGGTACATAAGCTCTCAACAAAATGGTGGACACCGAGCAGGTGTGGCATACCTGTTTTTTCCTTTCCTGCTAGTAAGGTCTGCTGGCAACTGAATTATTTCAAATCATGACATAAATTGGTGGGGGAAAAAGGATAATGCATTGAAGAAAAAGCAAAAAATGTTTAGGCAGGTGGTGATTACGCAGTTGCAACTTTTCACAAAATGTTTTACTCAAAATATGTCTAGGGAGGACGCGTTAGAAGAAGCACACACGCAAATATTAAGAAGAAAGAATAATAGATTTTCCATAAGGCACTCACTTCTCAGGGCTCCCCCTACACGTCCTCCCACAAGATGGCAAAACACCAATATTGGACAATTCCCCTCCAGGGTTAAGGGGACTGACCCCAAGCACCCTTGAATGCCATTGGAATGTTGATAGTTCCCCAGGGCATGCAGATCAAGAAAGGAGGGGCTGAGCCTTGTCCCCAGCAACCCTATCTCACTGTTAACACCCTCGCCCTCACCGCCCTCACCGGACCAGCACAACTATTCCCACAGCAGCCTGCACTTGCCCTGTTTTATCACTCATCATATGTCAGGGTCATTACTCTTATGTAAGTGGACCCGTCACTGGTTGTAAGCTTCCTGAGGGCAGGGACCACGTTTATCCTCATCACTACTGTGATTCCAGCACCCAACACAGGGCTGGGTTCATAATAGCTGCCCAATAAACATGGAATGTGTGAGCCTTTGTCCAGACTGGTCTAGGAGACTCCTCTGGGAAAGCTGGAGGCGACACAGAAGTTCAGGTCACCAAGAGTTTGCAGATTTAACAAACTGCACCCCCAGGAATGCACACTGGCTTCACACCTTCCATCCCAGGCCCTCCCATGAGTGACTAAGGTTGGGGAGCAAGTCTAGCAAGATAGCAATGTGAGTGATAGGTGCAAGCAATGAAACCGGAAGTTGTTTCTGATGTCTTCACCAAGGAAATGAGATAACCAGTCCAGACTCTACATATTTGACTCTTCCTTAAGACAATTGCTTGCAACATTGGCTTTCTAACAAGTCAGTCACCCTCTTCTATGTAGCAATATCTATGTGGGAGTAGTCTGGTATGTTAGACGTTGATGCTGATTTGGAAATGGAAAGATCTGGGTTAAGAGTCACTTTGGGGCTTGCTTAGTCTCTGAGTCTCAGTCTTCTCATCTGTATAATGGGACTATTTCACCCTACAGTGTGTGCTGAGGGTTAAGAGTGTGTCAGTACTGAGATTCCTAGCCAGCTCTGCTCCCTATTTGCTATATGACCTTGGGTAACCCATTCGACCTCTCCATGCCTCAGGGTCTCGTCTGTAAAATGGAGGTGTTATCAGGCCCTGCCTCCCAGAGCAGTTGTGAGGATGACATGAGTACACTGTGTAAAACACCTGAAGCAGAATCTGGCACATGGCAACATTCAGTAAACATTGACCATTTATTATTGACCCTCACTTCTCACAAAGGTCACAGGGACACTGTAAGTGACAGCACATTGTAAAAGCTGAAGAGCAAGGAGATGTGATTAAAATTATCTACAAGCTTTTAGGCCTGTTTCCACTCACATTCATGTCTCCTCCCTTTCTCCCTTTCTGGATTCAGAACTGCTCAGGGGCCAGTTTGGAAACATGGGGCTTCCTTAGAAACTAACCACACGCTGTCTCCTGCTCCAAACGTTACAGGGGCTTGGATGGGGGAGGGATCAGCCAGCCTGGCCTACCTGTCCTATGGATAAAACTCCCAAACCCAAGCTAGTGCCTCTCACTGCTCTTTGCAATGTTAGTCACACACTCTTTCATCTACTCAATCTCTCATTCGTTCTTGTAGTTTTGAAGTATCTGGTGTTTGCAAGTCCACCCATCAGTGGGAGCCAGCTCAGCATTCCCTTCACTCTTTGCCTAGCTCTAGGACAAGTACAGCCTTGCAGGCATTCCTCTTCACCAGATCTCTGAGTTAGGGTTGCTGTTTTCTACCTATAGTCCCTGCCCCTCAAATGATCACCTTCAATGACCTAGGTCTGCAGTTCTCACCTGGCTGCACGCTGGAATCTGTGGGGAGCTCAGGCCATGCCCCACATCAATTACACGCCAGTGTATCTGGGCGTGGGACATCAGTTTGGTTTTTTTTAAACACTTCTCAGGTAATTCCAATGTGCAGCTGGGGCTGAGAACCATTGGTGTAGGTAGTGGTTGGTAATCTTTGAAAAACATTTGTTGAGAGGTCAGTGTTATTGTTCTAACTCTGCAAGCATTTGTTTTGGAGGGGCTGCATTTCAAACACCACTCCCTGCTCAAAGACCACCAGCAATTCTTTTCTGGCCCGGCAGGTGCTCACAACCACCTCTTCTCCCTCCCCCAGAATCGTGCTCAGCGGCATCCTGGTCCTTGATGCTCAACTGTGCGCAGGCTCCCCTAGGGAGAAATTCCACAGTGTAATTAAAAACATGTTTTCAGAGCGGCTCTGACTCCCCCCCACGCCTTCCCTTTAAACATGTCTGTAACTTTAATTAAGCCCAGCCGAGGCTCAGAAGGGGCCGGTAGAAATTTTTTTTTTCCCAACTGGTATTTCCTTGTTCTCTTTTTTTGCTTCCCCTCCCCCTCTCTTTACCACTCAATCTGCTTGGGGGAGGAGGGGTCGCAGGGAAGGGCAGAGATGTGCTTGTTGTTTTAAATCTTGGCCAGTTAGATTTTCTTCTCTCCTGCTCTGTTTTCAATTTAAAAGCCCGTGGCCCAGGCTTGAAATGAGTGCATGATTCTCCCTCCTACACTGAGAGCCCAGATGGGCTTCTTAGCCAGGATGAGTAAGACCCAGGACCTGGGTACACTGGAGCTGGCTGCCCAGTCTCCCTACACCTGCCGGGTTCTCCTCACCTAATGCTGGGCCTGGGGCCAAAGGCCACAGCTGTGCCAGATGCCCAGGTCTGGGGTCCAGTAAATGATAAGCCCCCTACTCGCATGAGTCCTCAGGCCACCCCACATATCCTGCCCTGACATGGAAGCTGGGACCAGGGCATGACACCAAGGGGCCCTAGACTGTGAGCTCTCAGGGGCAAGAGACACCTAATGATCTTTATAAACGCTCCCTGACACAGAGCCTGGCCCATTGCAGGCAGGGGCGCATGTGTCTTTGTCCCGTACGGTGGGAGAGCTCTTATGACTGGAAATGGACCTTCTAGGGATGAGCTCGTTGAGAAGTCTTCTCTCACCCTCTCCAATCCCAGTTTCTCTTCTGAGCTCCCAGAGCTCATCCTCACTTGCCCCCCGTCCCATGCTTCCTTCTCCACTGTGCACACGTTCTTCTGCTCAGTAACAGTGTGCAGGCACCTGGCTCCGAATTCCATGAGGGCACGGGCTGTGTCTACCTTACCTGGCTGTGTAGGATGTTTAGGGTAACCACACAGCCCAGTTTGCTGGGTCCAGTGTTAGTTTACATTTATTGTCCTGGTTTGGTTGTTAACAGTGCCCCCTTGCACTTTCAGAACTGCTGTGGCTTGCATGATAAATTAGATGGCCACACCAACTTTGTGGTCTCCGTGACCAGCTTATTAGAAAGGACTTAATGCATGGGAGCAGTGTGGGGTAAGCCATGTCAGCCTGTCCTGGGCTCCTTGATCCAGCCCGACCAGTCACCAAACTTCTCTGAAGCCTCAAATACCTTGTCAGTGCCCCCGGGGAATATAGCGATATTCCTCTCATGGAATGGAGGTGGGGGTTAAATGAGGGGACAGTGCAGTTCCAGGCACTTAGTAATACTTGATAAATGTTAACAGAGGAAGAAAAACAGGGAGGGAGGAGAGCAGAGATCTGCAGATATTCACCTTATGCCCTCAGGGATTGCGAGAGGGGGACTGGGGAAATTTGGTGTCTGGTTTTGCTCATGTTCTGTTCACAATAATAAACACCCCAAACTGAGGACGTTTGAGGAATTAAAAACCTGGGAGCTGAGTCATGGGCTGGGTGTGTTGTACTTTTCTTTCTTAGAGTCACCATTTTGTGGAGGCAGAAGCTTCCAAAAGAACCACAAGCTTATAGAAGGAGCTACAGACCCCTCTCAGAGCTACTGGGGACTGTGGGGATGCCTCCATCTTCCCAGACATCCTGGAAATTCCTGGAATGTGGTGGCAGTGGGGAAGCCAGCTGGAGGCACACCAGATGGAGATCTCAATTTCCAGGCCATCAGGATGGCATCAAATGTACGTCAGCCTAGACTAGGTGCATCCTGGGAGATTCCCCCAGCCAAGGTTCTCAGCCTGAATGGTCCCGTCTCACCGTGGAGAGGCTGGCAATGTGTCCCCTGGGGAGCACATTGTGGAGAAGACAGAGTCCCTGAACAGGGGATATCCACCAATGCCAGAGAAAGGGAGCAGAGACTGTGAGGGCCTCTGAGCCAAACTCTGTCTTTGAAAATAGGGTTATTCTCTGTAACAGCAGCATGCTTGCCGCAGGAATGGATCATTTTAGGCCAGCAGCTACAGTCCTCGGGTATATTTTTTGAAGACCAGGAAGAGTACAGTGAGAGTAAAATTAAGTGAGAATCTTAATTTCTTATGGGAAAGAGAGAGAGAGAGAGGGAAAACAGTTGCATATGGGATTTTCCTCGGCATTCCATAGACTATAAATATGCGGGCAGGGCCCATGATTGTTCTGTTTGCCACCTGGCACAGTGCCTGGTGATTATTAAGTATTTTTTGATTGAAGAAACAAATGAATGAATTTAATAATGAGTCTTGTTTAAGTTTTGTCTATTTTCATTCTAGAAGGAAAGCTCCTGGAACTAAGAGATTGAGTCTCTGATTACTGTTAGCACTTGGCTCCTGGGGCAACAAATAACTTCAACACTAATTTGAAAATCACACCAGCTTTGACAAAGGAAGGCAGCCTGAGGACAGCGGTGTTTCCCAGTATGAGGGGGTCGTAACTCGGCTTCTCCCTCCAGCTTCCCTAAGTCCTGTCCTGGCCACACACAGCCGAAAGAACCATCTGTGCACACAGCTGGATTGTGCCCCTTGCTGCTCCCTTTTGTGCTAGTTATTAAGCTGTTGTTCCTCAGCTCCAAACCCCCCAGCCAGCCAGAACTCTCTCGTCATGAGTCTGGCCTGGGACCAGGCTCAGAGACCCTGGCAGCAGCTTCATTGTGACTTTTCCTCATAGGTTTGAGTTGCAGCTCCACCAGCATCTCCTCTGTGTTTCCAAGTCTTAATAATTCCACTCTCTTCCCTTGGTTCCCTCAGCTCTAGCGGTGGGACTGCGCCCTGCAATTGCTCCTCCAAGATACCTTGGAGTTCTCTTTTCCTCTCTCGATTACCAGCTTTGTCCTTAGCTAACACCATCTTATATTAGATTCTCCCTGACTGAGACACGCAATTGTAGGTCTTCAGATGTTCCACCAGCTGGCCCCCTCTCTTCCCTAACCTTCCTTCCAATGCCCAGGAAAACCCTGGCCCACCTGCATAAACCCATCTGGAGTTGCGGTTTGGAAGGAATCCATTCTCTTCTTCCCACAGCCGCTCTTCCTCCCTGTCCTCCTTCCAAGCTCTCCCTGCCTGTCTGTCTCTGTCTTTCTAATCTCAGTGCCACCTACCCCTCACCCCTGACCCCCGCCCTTCTTCCTCCATCAGCTCCCTTCAGTCATTTGGCATTTGCATGGCTCTGCATGGCTGTAACAATGTGCATGTTTCCTCATAGTTATAAATTCACTTTTTACCCCTTTCCAGAAAAAATGTAGAGGTCAGTTGGCATTTACGTGTACACCCTTGGTGTCCTCTTATCTCCTGTGGCTCTCGCCTGTACTTCTCAGAATATTTGGTCTATGCTACCTTTTGCTGCTCTTGGTCTCAAAACATACTTTGGTTTTCCCAGCCAGCGAAGAAGACTGTCCAGGGAAGAATCTGTCTCTCTTGCTTTAGGCCCCTAAAAGCCCAGCCCCGTGTCTGCTCACTGAAAGGGCTCAGTAAATGTCTGTGATGGTTGATAAAGCGTTGTATCTCATTGAATCTAAGACACCATCAATCGTAAGATGCACTGTTGTTTTTTGCGAACTAAGGAAGAAACAAATGTGTCCGGTTAAGCTGTCGCTTGATTGTGAGCTGCATCCCAATTTCAGAAACGTGAAAAACCAGTTTGCCTCATAGAATCGATGAAACACAGTATCACTGGGCTGGGAAGTTCTTGGAGATTGTTGTTTTCCTTTGAGCCAATTCTTCAGGGCTTAAGTTCTTCCCACCACACAGCATGGATGCTCAAGGGTGTGTGGGTTGGACTGACAGGTTTAAAAACGAGGAGGCAGGGGGAAGGGATGGGCAAGCAATGGATTCCTATGCAGGGTGGACAAAAAGACTTGAATGTGGTTGTGCTGGGCTTCGGGTGGAAAGCATCCATCTCAGGACAGAGAAGCATGTCTTCCTGTGAAGGACACTTGTCCAAGAGGTTCACAGAGCAGCCAGACAGTTAACCACTACTTCAGTGCTAAATGGCAACCAGCCCATCGACTGCTCACTCTCCCCACCCCCACCCCACCCTACTCTCCACCTGTTTATTTGCTCAACACCTCTCTTCGAGACCACAGACTGCATCTGTTACCTTTTGCCTTTTCCGCAGGGTCCAGTTCTTCCAGAGCAAAAGCTGAATTTGTCTTGCAAAGCCCATGCTGATGACCACACGACCAGGAGACCGCTCGGAGCCCTCCGTCTATGGCCAAGGCTCACGGGCAGCGATGGACGTAAACACCGCTCAGAGCACCTCCGGCTCAGGCTGCTGTGTCCTTCTCTGGGTGATTAAAGGCTAGTTTCCCCATTCAAAGCATAATCCCTTTTAATTACACGTAAGCCCATTGTTGAAGAAAGCAGGCTGACATTCTGTTGACTCCTTTTTGGGAAGAGAAAGAGAAACCTAAAGACACAAGTGGCTGGGCACTAAGTGAATTGAGGCGGGGGCATTTCATGGGAAACCAAGACCCTTAGGATCCCTCCTCCGTCAAAGTGGTTCCTGGGGTTCCTGAGGGGTTGCCTTTGGGAATCCCTGACCTTTCATTTGGGGATAAAATCTCTTTGCATAAATATAGGCTGGGATTTGTCCTCCGCAGTAGCCTGCCCTGAGCCAGTATCCAGGGTTTAACTGCCCCTTTCAGCCTAATAAACCCACTTGCCAGTTCTGAAGTCTTCCCTCCCTTTTTTAGCTGTTTATCTTTCTCTGTAGTGACTGTAGTCCAGCTATTTGGGGGCATCTCTGAGCTTAGAGGATGGTAAATGATGTTTATCTCTTGTGCTAAGATTTGATCGACTAGTCATGGCTACCTGGAGTTGTGCTGAAAAAGTCGCTGGAACCCTCCAGGCTCAGCACGACACAGCCATGATTGACCAGCCATGTCTGACCCAGGCCGGGCTTCAGGAGAGGTAGCAGGAAGGCCAGCTACTGTCATTCCAGCTCGCAGTGGGATGCTGCTTTAATCACTTGTCATCTGGTGGTTGATACATGATCCTGAGGGGCACCCCAAACAGAAGACTCCCTGCTGCTTTACCTTGGGAATTTTTTGTCTCCACCTCCTCAAATCTCAGAAGTTGCTTCTCTTTGAAAGACTCTAGACCCTTGAGACCTAGAGGGGTGGAGGGAGAGCCGTAGAGTGAGAATGGGCGCTGACTTTGTGGAGTTTGTGATCTGGCTGTAGACGTGAGACATGAACTTGGATAACTAAGGAGTATGTGATGGAAGCCACGAGGGCATACAGGCTGTGTCTGGTGGAGCTTCCAAGAGGAGGAGGATGGTTTCTGCTTAGGATATCAAAAAGGCTTCTTGGAGGTGGTGGCACTAAAGATAGGCTTTGATGAATTACAAAATAACATTTTATGGTACTTTCATGGTTTACAAACTGCTTTCGCATATATTATCTCATTTTATTCTCACTACAATTTTGTGAGGTAGATATTTGCTCTATAGTATAGACAAGGAACCTGAAGCCTAGTGGGATTAAATACTTTGCTCAGCGTCACTCATGACAACACTAGGTTCCTGAACAAGTCATTTAAACCCTATGCAAAGACAGGAAGGCAAGAATAGCTTATCCTGCATGGGGAAACCATAAGAAGTGAAAGATGGCTGGGGCAGAGGGCATTGATGGAGGACTGCTGAAGAGGAGGCTAGAAAGGGAAACAGGGACCAGACTAAAGAACTGATGATTATTATTGACTTAATTGAGATTTCCTGAACACCTATGAGGTAATCTCTGAGTGGCCCACAAGTGCAGGGCACCCCCAAACAGAAGCAAGCTCTGTGCAGAATCATTATGACCTTGTTGCATGCTAAAGAGTGTGGGTTTTTATCATGCAGGAGGCTATGGCAGATTTTAATCCAATGGCTGCCAAGAGTAGTAAATTCACTCTGGCAGCCATGTGCGGGTGGAGAGGGGAGGCAGGGGGCCTGAGCGAAGACAGTAATAGGGGAGAGATTGGAGTGACAGAAGGAGGGAGACACAGGACTGGGCAGCTTGTTGGAAGTGGGTGGCGAAGAAGAGGGAGAAGTCAGCTGGAATGATTGGGGTTGGGACTTGGCTGGCTGAATGGTGAGATGGTGGTGCTCATAACTGAGAAGGGAATGCCAGAGGAGGGCTCCGGGAGTGAGAGGAAGTGGGAGAAAAGAGGAGCTCACGCTTGACATATTGACTTTGAGGTCCCTCTGAGGACATCTGAGTGGACATATTCAGCAGGCAGTTCTGGGTTGGAGACATAGATTTGGAAATCATCAGCACATAGGCAGAAGATCAATCCCTGGGAGTGATTTAGTAGATTCCCCAGGGAGGATAAACTCGGAGAGTGTGTGGCATTGTTGTGGGGGAGCTACAGCTGGTGAAGGAATATGCCTCTTCCAAATTCCCAAAGGGAAGAAAAACAGTTGTAGTCATCAGATATCAGTTATGTAAATTGCGTTCTGTCTTAGTTTTAAAATAATCTACTTTTCATTGAGTTACAAAAGAAAAAGTTAAACTCTGAACATTTTGTTATAATTCAATTGATGATACTCCAATATCATTATTCCCATCTAACTGGTATTCTTACCTGAACAAATCTGTTTTTGTTGATGTTGACACTCTTTTTTTTTTTTTTTTGTGAGGAAAATTAGCCCTGAGCTAACATCCTTTGCCAATCCTCCTCTTTTTGCTGAGGAAGATTGGCCCTGGACTAACATCTGTGCCCATCTTCCTCTATTTTATATGAGACGCCGCCACAGCATGGCTTGACAAGTGGTGCGTCAGTGAGTGCCCAGGATCCGGACCCGGGAACCCTGGGGCTGCCGAAGCAGAGTGCACAAACTTAACCGCTATGCCACTGGGCCGGCCCCAACACTGTTTTTTTTTACTGTGGTAAAATATACATGACATAAAGTTTACCATTTTAGCCATTTTAAGTGTACAGTTCAGTAGCGTTAAGTACATTTACATTATTGTCCAACCATCACCACTATCCATCTGCAGAACTTTTTACATCTTGCAAAAACTGCAACTCTGCACCCAACCAACAATAACTCCCCATCCCTCCTCCTCCTGTTCTTGACAACCACCATTTTACTTTCTGTCTTTATCAGTTTGACTACTCTAGGTACCCATATAAATGGAATCATATAATATTAGTCCTTTTATGTCTGGCTTATTTCATTTAGCATAATCTTCACGGTTCATCTATGTTGTAGCATGTGGCAGGGTCTGTTTCCTTTTCAAGGCCAAATAATATTTCATTGTCTGTATACACAACATTTTATCTATTCATCAATCCATAGTCATTTGGGCTATTTCTACTTTTTGACTATTGTGAATAATGCTACTAAGAACATGGGTATACAAATATCTGTTCAAGTCTCTGCTTTCAATTTTTTGGGGTATATACCCAGAAGTGGAATTGCTGGATCAACTGGTAATTTTACATTTAATTTTTTAAGGCACTACCATACTGCTATCCATAATGGCTGCACCATTTTCCATTACCATCTGTAGTGCACAAGGGTTCCAATTTCTCCACATCCTCACCTACATTTGTTCTTTGTTTTGTCTTGTTTTATAATAGCCATCCTAAGTGGTGTGAAATGATATCTCATCGTGGTTTTGATTTGCATTTCCCTAATGATTAGTGATGTTAAGGACACTTACTCTTTAAATATTATAGCTATATTTAGGTGTGATTCTTCCCCCCCAGGTAACTACCGTTGTTTAAAAATTATGTCGAAATAAGAGCCTGTGAGCTCAGTTTTCTCAAATATTTCTGAGAATATGCCTAGTTAGTCAAGAATGGTATTGATAACTGCATATTTCATTCTGATAATTATCACCATGAACACTAATTGATTAGAATAAATCTGGAATTGATGTAAAGGTAGAGAATGCAGTGGCTTCAAGCTAAGACCCTACACATGGATTGAGAGTTTTGAAGTTAAGTGATGGACCATATCAACCCATACTTACCTTCAGAAGTACAAAGAAGTCAAGAAAAATGGTAAAGTTTTGAAGATTTTGTCCTTCCTATCTCTAAGAGTTGAAATGTAGTGTTATCACAGAGGAGACTTCTGTTACTTATATCAGTTATTCTGCCATCAAAAATTCAGTAGTGGAGAGAAATAATTTATAATAAAAAAGTTTCTATTTGGAAAAAAGCTCTGGAAAATATATGAGTTAAATGAATTAGAATTACTGTAATTTTGGAGTGGAGATAAATTTGATAATGAAACTAACACCAGTTGATAGCCATCAGTCCACTTAAAGCAAGCTGAGGAAAGAAAATAGAATGTCCCCCAAACACATCACTGAACATATTATATTTCTTTGAAAATAAGGATTATAGGGGAGGTGGGAAGCATTATGAATCTAAGTCGTAAGCATAAAGGCAGTTCTGAGACATCAGAATGTAAGATAAAGGAAAAATATCTTGATTTCTCAACTTGAGTTTATTCCTACCCAATTCAAAACTAAATCATTGGGGAATTAAAACCTGAAACTCTTTGAATCATCATGAGTAACATAAATATTTCCTCAGCTTATTCAACAATATTTGATAAGATAATAGTACAGTAATGAATAGCGTCAGGTTTTTGAAAGTTACTCATAGAAAGAAAATCCAACGCTTGGGCAGATTGGCTGCCTGGCTCACAAAGATCTGTTCTTCTCTGAGGGTGGCTCCCAATGCCAGGAAATGGTCTACAGTCGACCTGTAAATGCCCTAGGTCCCTGGTCATAGCTGACTGGTCGTCTGTGGTTATGGGAACTTAGCTGGGCACTCAGAGCCTAATCACAGAATTGTTGACAGTGGACCTGACAGAAGTGTGAGTTCATCATTACAGAAGTACGGAAGCTATGAGGAATTAGAGGCCATGCTGGGTCACTAGGTTCAGTTGCTCTCAGTGAAGAGGCGGCCAGGTGAAGAGTAGGGCGGAGGCCGAAATCTCATCTGCTTTTGCTGACCAAACCTTGGGCCCTGGTACGGGGCTACATCCAAGAAAAAGGACTGCCTTTTCCTTTTCACAAAGGTGCCTTCTGCTCACCAGACCATGCGACTGTGAGGCTGCCTCCATCCAGAGGAGCACCTTTTCTAATTTGCACAAAAGTGCCATGCAGGCTAGCAGAGGCCCCGAGGCTGTGTACCCCACCACGAGGAGAAATCTGATCCTCAGTAGAAGGGAATGAAGGGAATGCACAGGGGGAGGCCGAGACAGGGAGCATGCGTCCCAGCTGCAGCTGTGTCCCCGTTTCCAGCTGTCCTTGGGACA